TGTAACATATTCTATTTTGTTACAATCAAACACGACAAAAAGAATGATTGCATCTGTACCAGTGGTCCTAGAGTATCGGTTTAGGTGGTCTCATTTGATAGATTCAATTAAAGGAAGTGTATGACATTATATTTAAATGAATCTAACATTTAATGTCATGCAGTTACACCCTAAATTGGTGCTAATAGCATTACTTTTATAAAGAAAAAAAAACCCTCTTCACTCAATTGATAGTCAATATACAGGGAAGCTCTATTACATTTTCTAATATATGAATTTGAGGTTCCATTAATAAAAAACTTTTCAACAAAGTTCTTGTGTCTTTAGGTAAATCGGATATAGTTGAATAAAATGTAATGCAATAAGATAATTATATTAACATCATAGCTTTTATTAGTTGCACTATATTTTAATTATAATTAAGGCTCTAAATCTTTTCTCGTTATAGCATTAATGTCTTAACTTTTATCTACGCTTTTTTATTATTAACATTAATTAATTAGCAAATATCGTTTAATATAACGATTTTCGTCTAGAAACTCCGCTAAGAGAGGTAAAACTACTTGTTTTACCTAATATATTTATTAAAAAGGAAATGCAAAAGTGCGACAAATGATTTTTTTTCCTTATTATAAAGTACTTGAAACAAAATAATTTTACAGAAACTATAATTAAGGACGAGACGAGGGTGGACCCAGCATCCGGTGAGGGGGAGAGGCCGCCCGTACTGGATCCGCCGGAGTCTTCAATATCGCCGAGCACCGGGTCATGCCACTTTCTCATTGCAGACATTTTTCTGAACTGTTGCTTCTAAAGTAGAGCTCTCAGTTGCACTTTGTGAGCCAACTTTAAGCTAGTGCTGCCCTGTGGCCTATTTCTGTTGGGGAAAAGCATGTTGGCACCTATTGGTGACTTGCCTGGAAAAATAATTTCAAATTCATTGGAGAACCAAGTAGCCTGTATTGATAGAAGAAGACTAGTTTGGACCTTTTTTTTCTTTTCATTTTTTTTGTAGTTTTGGCCTTTTTTTTTGGACTGAAAGAGTTGGCCTTTTTTTTTTTTGGTTTTGGGCCTTTTGTTTTGAATAATTTTTAATATTATTTAATTAAATATTAATAAACGATCTCGCTTTTACGATCGTTGATTGTTGACGGTCAATGGTCAACAATCAACGTTCGGTCCGCTCGTGTTAAACTTTTGTGTTGGGTCCGCCACAGTATACATCCCATTCTATGGTTTGAAATTTAATACCATGTACATAAGGTGTTACAATAATAAAATTGTCCAATACATGATTTAACATAACTTTTGTTAGTAAATCAACAAAGATTATACCGTCCACATAAATAATCCAACAAGTTGTTGAATTGGGGAAAAAAATTCGACTGACAAAGGTAAGAAATAATGGAATGGAACGTGACTATAGAATTGAGTTTGCCAATGCCAACCGAGGCCACCTAGAACAAGAAGGTACCTGGTCAAGGCCGCAAAAACCACTTTTTGCCCCCCTTTCGCTACAAATTCAGTTGTGTAAATTTAAAGTTGAATGGCTATGACTCTAATGAAGAAATGTAACTCTTCGGAAGTATATATTACAATCTATAATAGATTGATTGTTTCTTTAGAAAAGTGATATACAACTTTCTTCTCCTATTTTCTACTTGTTTCAAGTTCTTACTTTCGTTTGTTCACTTTGAAACTTGCCTTGTGTTCGGATTAGTGCAGAACTATATTATAAAGGTTCTCATGTACATTTAAATATATCTTTGGTGTTGGGTTTGTCGTCGTTAAGTGCAAAGTCACTGGTATGGCTATCGAAATCATGAGCATTAGTAAGTACGTTACAGATTCAAGTTGTAGAAATCCAGTGTTTTACTAAGTTTCCGAATAGTGGCCCTGAATTCAAGTTGATTATATTTCATCTCTTCCTCAGAGAAAGACAATTAAACAATTCACAATTATGGTCCTTGCGGATATAAATGCCGATAAACATTACATTGATTCTATTGTATCCTATAGGCAAATCTTATTCCCTTGTACACCCATTCAATGAAGGACAAATCAACACGCGACTTGAAATCTATTTCAAATCACACTTTGGGTTCTGTACATATTATTGCTAGGTATTTCCCACCAGCATGCTTTACATCAT